GAACGACCCGTTCCAATTTAAGTTTTAAAAAACCACGACTTTTAAGATCGGTTATAATAAATAATCGATCTTAAAGTTAATAACCGATTTTAAAAGTCTAACTTTTAAAATCGGTTAGGGAACCGATTTTAAAAGTTAAAAATAACCCATTTTAAAAGCCTTTTTTCCACTATTGCACTTTGATATTCTAATGTTTGAATTGCTAAAGAACCCAAATTATGGATACATGAATGTGATTGCAAAGTGCGTGTGGGTGTTACTTTGTGAATTCCAGGGATGGAAAAATATGTGTGCTTACATATAAGTAGCTAGACCCACTATAATAGAGAGAAATATGATGATTGATGAGTATGTGGATGTTAATGACGGTTAAATAAATACAACACTAGGTTCCTTAACGTTATTGCTCTTTTTACTTTGTTGTATTTTATTTTTCTCTTTTTTTTTAAAAAAATATTTTTACATTTTATACTCTTTTTTATCTTCATTATAAGTCATATGTTAGAGGAAAAATAATAATGGTCATTTTATTATGTATTTTGCAATTTCTATAAGGATTGTGAGTATATGTATCTTTAGTTGTTCAATAAGAAGGAGAAAAGTTGAAAAATAGATGTTTACTTTCACCTCTTGAACTTTTCAATTATTGGTTATGAATTTTATTGACAATGATTCGTAAATTTTGATATACATTATAGGATAATAATATGTTCATCTCTACCATGATAATTTAATGATAAGTTAGAAAAACCAAATTTATATGTCGTATTTTTTATTTTATTTTATAAAATTAATTAAAATAATTACAGTGTTTTATATCACTAAAGAGTATATTATTTTTAACATTCCCACGATCTCAAAAATAATTAACTAGTCTTGAATGGTTGCTTTCTAGATGAAGGTATTCGTACTATATACAACCGCCAATATGTAGGCCTCAAAATTTTAGTGGATGATACCCTTAAATCAAGCAAGTGATTTATTAAATGAGATGTTAAACTCACAAAATTTGTAATTTTAAATTAATTTTAGTCAATCATATAGATAGTATTGAACGTAAAGTGTTAGAGTGAGTGCACTAAATTTCCTGAACTATTAATAAGCATTTTGTCACTCAAAAGTATTGCTAGAAACCTTTTATTGTAACAGCCCAAAATCGCTGGGCCAGAGGCTCAATTGAATAAAAAAAATGCCTAAAATTGGAGAAGCAGAACAGGCCGTTCTAGTTTGGAGAACGGGTCGTTCTAGTTTGGAGAACGGGCCGTTCTGCTGGTTTTGAGATCGGGCTGTTCTGGTTTTGGAACAGGCCATTCCAGTTGAGAATTTTGCGTAATTTCGAAGCGTCCAGAACGGCCGTTCCACTTTTGGAACGGGCCGTTCCAGTAGGTTTGCCTGTAATCCTATAAATAGCACCCCTCACCTGTCATTTTGAGACATCTCTCATTCTCTCTTCCTATTATCTTATGTTCTCTCTTCTTTCCCTCTTCTTCTCTCTGAAGACCAAGGGGCACTTAGAGGAGGAGACCAAGAGATCTCTGTTGTAGTTTCAACTGCTGTTTTTCCAGGTACGGGGGAAAAGAGAATTATTTATAGGTAGAGTTGCATGAGGGAATTGGGTAGAGGAAGAACCCTTAAGATTATGAGTAATTTTATAATTATTTCTATTTGGAGAATTATTGGTTTTATGTGATTCTGTATGAATTTAGGATTATGAATATATATTTTTATTTGTAAAAATGATGCTCTGGGAGAGAGAACGAAATTACAGAAAAGTGCCTGTAAGTTAGGTTTTGGGAAAAATTGAATTATTTCTGTTTGAAAAGTTGATGATCCCATTAGATTCTGCATGTGTTGAGGATTAGAAAAATATATTTAATTTGTAAGAATGATGATCTAAGAGGGAGAACGAAACTCTAGAAAGTGCCTGTGAGCTAGGTTTGGAACAATTGGGGGTTTTACCGTTATGTTGAAATTATATTAAATTGGTAATTCTGTTGAATATTATATTAATTTATGAATGTTATTGATATATCACTTGATAAAAATTGATGATTTAGATGTGAATTGCTTGAGGTGTATGAAACCCTTATTTTGTTGGACTTATTTGTTGTGTATGTGATATGGAATTGTGCATGTTTTTGAGATATGAGATGGGATGATGTGTGGATATGATTATGAATGTGATTGTGGTACCTCACACTAATGACCACGGACGAGACGAACCTTGAGTAGTGATGCTTCAAGGACGAGCGTGCCCCTGGCATGGTGTGGGACGAGTGAGTCAATTAACACGCATCACTTATGTCAAATATGGCAGCCCTGGCATAGGGTTAATTGCAAGAGATTGTGTGGATTGTGATGTGATTGTGGTTCCTTACATTAATGACTGGGGATGGCACGAGCCCTAGGTAAGTGATGCTACAGGGAGGGCGTGACCTTGGCATGGTGTGAGATGAGTGAGACAATTAACCCGTATCACTTGTGTCAGTTGTGGCGTGGTCTTGACATAGTGTTAATTGTAAGATTTATGTGGGTTGTGATGGATTGGTGTGATTATGATTGTGATGTGATTGTGGTTCCTCACATTATAACTAGGGGTGGCACGACCTTGGGCAAAGAGATGCTACAAGCGTGACCTTGGCATAGTGTAGGACGTGTGATTTCTCATGCTTATGTCGGGGGTGGCATGACCTTGGACAAGGAGATGCTACAGGCGTGACCTTGGCATAGGGTGGGATGTGTGAGGCAATTAATACTTATGTCGGGGGGTGGCACGACCTTGGGCAAGAGATGCTATTGGCGTGACCTTGGCATAGGGTTGATTGCAAGATTTGTGATGATTGTTTTGCGAATTGTGACGTGATGATGATGCACGATTGATAAAGTTATGATACATTGAAATGTTTATGAATATTTTGTTAAGTATCGAGTTATAATGAGATGACATGTTGTGTGTTTGTATGTACTTTACATATAGATGTTTTTTTTTCTTACTATACAATATTGTGGATGTTTTAGGTGAGAAAGATCTGGCTATGAGTGATATCTAGAATGCCAACGGTTGAATTGTTGGGATGCTCTGATATTGTGACATCGGGGCAAAGGATTTTTCAGAACATAGGTTTTTATATGGATTTGGAATTGTAAATGTTATTTTTGAAAACAATTTGAAAACTCTTGCGTTTCATTTTTATTATTGTGGTTATTGAAGGATAATTTTGAAGATTCTCATGTGAACCCTTTTACCGAAATTGAAAAATTTATTTATAAGTTTTCATTATTACAATATATGTGTTGGGGTAGTAAGGGTATCACATTTAGTGGTATTAGAGCAGGTCGATCCGATCGGCCATGAGTTATGGGTCTACTATGCTTGCTTTGTAGATTAATAATGTGATGAATTGATTGTTGAACGTATTGATGTGCTAATGTGATGATTGATTATGTTGTTGTTTATTTATTTGTGTGCATTGTGTTCTCAAGATTTGTCTGATAGGCATGATATAACTTGATGATGCTATTTTGATTGCTCTTTATTATTCTCATGATTGCTTAATTGTTTTGGTACTTCTTGCTTATGTAAGAAGTAGTGGTTGGTTGGCATCGCTTGTGTTGCGAGCATAGATGCAGGTAGTGGTAGAAGACAAGGTATATTGCTAACCAACTAGAACTAGTGGAACCTTGGATGTGGGTGAGAAATTGACTTATCGAATGTATTAAGAGTTTACGATTGGTGGAGTTTCTGAAAGCTATAGTTGTAGTGATTGAATCCAAGAGGTTATGTGTCGAGCATTAGAGCTTTGAGCATTCTTGATGAAAGGTCAAAGTGTTGGTGATTTCCTTAAGTTTTGATACTTGTATATTAACCTAGTTAGGGGTTAGGTTGCATGAGGATTATATTTCAGTTATAAGTCTTTTGTGCTGAATGTGTGAGTTGTTTTTGTTAGAATTGTAGTGAAAAGTTTGGATATGAGTTTAAGGTGGAAAGAAGTGAGTTTGGAATGATTGAGTTTATTTTGTGGGATGTTAGTGCAATATTGTTGTCTAGTGTAGGAGATGTTTTCGCTGTAGTTTTGTTATGCCAGTAGGAGTACCATATTGATAGATTTAGATTTTGTGGTCTTCTTGAAAGTTGTAGTCTTGGGAGTGATCTTTTCAATGGCACCGGAATCAGGTAAAATGAAGGTTTAGAACTCCAGCAAAACGAACCTCATAACGATCAATAGAGGTCGAGAACGAACCTTGTTACGATTAAGGGAGGTCGAAAACGAACCCCCTAAAAACAAACGGAGGTCGAATCCTAACAATCAATAGAGGTCGAGCACGAACCTCATTACAGTCAATGGAGGTCGAAAGCGAACCTCCTAAAGACAGAGGTCGAAAACGAACCTCATAACGATCAATAGAGGTCGAGAACGAACCTCGTTACGATTAAGGGAGGTCGAAAAGGAACCCCCTAAAAACAAACGGAGGTCGAACACGAACCTCCTAACAATCAATAGAGGTCGAGCACGAACCTCATTACAGTCAATGAAGGTCGAAAACGAACCCCCTAACGACAAATAAGGGTCGAAAGCGACCCTCATAACGATCAATAGAGGTCGAGAATGAACCTTGTTACGATTAAGGGAGGTCGAAAACGAAGGTCAAGAACGAACCTAATTACAAGTAGTAGAGGTCAAAAACGAACCTCTTAACGACTATCTGGGGTCGAAAACGAACACCACCACTAATGGTTTCAAATAAAACTCGTCGAGACATAAATAAATCTACCACACAACTTTAGGCAAAAAGCCAAAAAACAAATCCAAGCCCCGACACAGCAAATTCGGGAGAAAATCTCAGCACTCGCGTGCACAAAAATTACAACCCATATACAAGGTTAGAAACAAAAAATATATACACATATCCAAGTCACCCTATACAGAGGCATTGTCACTAGAACTATCCTCAACATCGTCCTCCCGGACCAACCGCCCAAAGCGAAAGACCTTTTCCACATGCATTCCGGAAAAGTCAAACCCCGGCGCGAGGTTCGATACCTATTCGTCGAAGCTGACGCCTCCTATAACATCATCATCGACAGACCAACCCTGAACCAACTTAAGGCAGTGGTATCCACTCCACACCTCACCATGAAATTTCTAGGGCACGACAGAAGGATCATCTCCGTTAGAGCAAACCAACAGGTAGCACGACAATGCTACGCGAACAGCCTGGAAACCACTTCGCCAAACGAACAACATAAAAACAACCTCAATGCTCTGGCTCACGCCGACCACGAGGAAGTCACCGACCTCGATCCAAGATCCGACGCTCGCGACGAACGACCCAGCCCCGTCGATGAGCTCAACGACCTTCAAATCGGAAAGCTTCCCGGCCAAACAACAAAGATCAGCAGGCAATTGGCTCCCGAGCTGCGTAAGCAACTCCAGGTAGAGATCCTCAAAAACGCGGACCTCTTCGCCTGGTCCAGTGCCGATATGCCCGACATAGACGCCAACTTTATCTGCCACAGACTAGCGATACATAAGGAGGCAAAACCAGTCACACAGAGGAAGAGGAAGGTAGGCGGCGAAAGACGGGAAGCAGTCATTGCCGAAACACAGAAGTTACTCCACATCGGCTTCATCCGTGAAGTCAGATACACTACCTGGCTGGCAAACGTGGTCCTAGTGAAAAAGAACTCGGGAAAGTGGCGTATGTGCGTCGACTATACCGACCTCAATAAAGCATGCCCCAAGGACTCATACCCCTTACCGAGCATCGACAGGTTAGTCGACGGACCCTCCGGACATGCCCTCCTCAGCTTCCTCGACGCCTATTCTGGGTACAATTAGATAATGATGTACCCACCTGATGAAGTACACACGTCTTTCATCACTGACCACGCCAACTATTGTTACCGGGTGATGCCTTTCGGCCTCAAAAATGCAGGGGCCACTTACCAGCGGTTGATGGATAAAGTGTTCCACCACCAAATCGGGCGAAACATGCAAGTATACGTGGACGACATGGTGGTCAAAACCGCCTCAGCAACGGACCACGCTACCGACCTCGCCGAAGTGTTCGCCCAGATCAGAAAGCACAACATGCGCCTCAATCCAGAGAAGTGCGTCTTCAGCGTCCAAGGAGGAAAATTCCTCGGCTTCATGATCACCAACAGAGGGATCGAGGCCAACCCCGAAAAGTGCAAAGCCATCATACAAATGCAGAGCCCGCAAATAGTAAAACAGGTTCAGCGCCTAGCCGGGCGGCTGGTCTCACTGTCCCGCTTTATCCCCAAGATCACGGAGAGAGCGGAACCAATTTTCACCTTGCTAAAAAAGCCAAATAACTTTCTATGGACCAACCAGTGTGAGGAAGCCTTTCAAAGCTTCAGGGAATTCCTCGCAACCCCGCCAGTCTTACAGAGGCCGGATCACAATACCGACCTCCTTCTCTACATGGCGGTAGCGGAAAACGCCATCAGTGCTGTCATCGTACAAGAGCATCAGCAGACGCAGACACCCATTTACTTTATCAGCCGGGTCCTCCAAGATGCGGAAAAAAGATACCAGATGGTCGAAAAGTTGGCATTGGCCCTAGTCACCGCAGCCCGGCGACTCTGACCCTACTTCCAGAGCCACCAGGTAGTAGTGAAAACCGACTATCCCATCAAACAAATCCTACGAAAACCTGAGCTCGCCGGACGTATGATTGCTTGGTCAATAGAACTGTCCGAGTTCAGCATTCGATACGAGAGCCGCGGACCCCTGAAGGCCCAATGCTTAGCCGACTTCGTAGCCGAGCTCACACCGGCCTCTACTGAAACATCCCAAGCGTGGACCCTGCATGTTGACGGGTCCTCCAACTCCAAAGGAGGAGGTGCAGGCATCATTTTGGAAGGACCAAACCAAGTCACCCTGGAACAATCCCTCAAGTTCGGATTTAAAGCAACTAATAACCAAGCAGAGTACGAAGCCCTCCTCGCCGGCCTGAGATTAGCCCGTGACCTTGGGGCTCGAAGGGTAAACTGCAACAGTGATTCAAAACTTATGGTAGAACAACTCAATGGAACATACCAAAGCAAAGACACCCTTCTACAGCGGTACTTCCATATCGCATCCCAACAGATCTCATCTTTCGATGAGTTCTCCGTAAAACATGTACCGCGAGAACAAAACGCCAGAGCAGACCTCCTGTCAAAACTCGCCAGTACCAAAAAACCCGGTCAACACCGAACCATCATCCAGGAAACCCTGCATTCACCTAGCCTGGAAGACAAAATCGTGAATGCCAACGACAGCGAAGAGCTGGGATGGATGGCGGACATATGGAGCTACCTACAAGAGGGCACCTTGCCTACAGACACAGATGAGGTACGAAGGGTGAGAGTACGGTCAGCAAAATTCATCATCATCAATGGTGAACTATTCAAGCGGGGAATCTCCACCCCGCTACTCAAATGTTTGACCACGTCGCAAGCAACCTATGTCATCAAAGAAATCCATCAGGGAATATGTGGAATGCACACCGGGGCTCGCTCAATGGCAGCCAGGGTGCTCCGAGCTGGGTACTACTGGCCCACCTTAAAATCAGACTGCCAAAATTACATCCAGAAATGTAAGGAGTGTCAGTAATTCGGCAGCGCACACCGACAACCCCCCGAAGCCCTCCATCAGATGATGTCAGCATGACCTTTCTCCCAATGGGGAATGGACATCCTTGGGCCATTCCCCCCCGCGAAAGGCCAACTAAAATTCCTCCTGGTAGCAGTCGACTATTTCACCAAGTGGATTGAGGCATGCCCACTAGCTAAAATCACCACGGAAAACGTGCGGAAATTCACATGGAAAAACATTGTCTGCAGATTTGGGATCCCTCACACTATCGTCACCGACAATGGGCGACAGTTCGTCGCAGGAGAATTCGAGGACTTCCTCCGAGAGCTCGGAATCAAGCACTTCCCAACCTCGGTAGAGCACCCCCAAACCAATGGGCAAGCCGAAGCAGCAAACAAGGTCATCCTCCGAGAACTCAAGAAATGACTAGGGAACGCAAAAGGACAATGGCCCGACATGCTTCCCAGTATCCTCTGGGCGTATCACTGCACCCCCAGTCAGCCACGCAAGAAACACCCTACAGGTTAACTTATGGGGCCGACGCAATGATCCCAGTCGAAATCGGACAAACGTCCCACCGACGACAAGTCTTCAACAACGAACAAAACACCCACGAACTAGCAACCGACCTCGATCTGTTAGACGAGATCAGAGACGAAGCCAAAGTCCACGAAGAGGCCTGCAAACTCCGAGCTTCCCGGAGGTATAATTCCCGAGTCAAACCCCGTTCCTTCCGAGCAGGCGACTTGGTATGGCGACTACTCGGGGAAGCCCGAAAAGACGCGACAGATGGGAAACTCGCACCCACTTGGGGCGGCCCATTCCAAGTTACAGAAAACCTGGAAAACGGCGCTTACCGACTAGAGGAGCTCAACGGAACGCCTGTACCACGAACTTGGAATGCCACCCACCTCAAATTTTACTTCTAAAAATTGTAAAATAAACAGTTTTCGTCGATAAAACGACTCACCCTCTTTTCATTCTTCCTCCATTACTTGCACTTCCTTTTTTCATAATTAAATAGAGGTCGAAAACGAACCTCATAACGATCAATAGAGGTCGAGAACGAACCTTGTTACGATTAAGGGAGGTCGAAAACGAACCCCCTAAAAACAAACGGAGGTCGAATCCTAACAATCAATAGAGGTCGAGCACGAACCTCATTACAGTCAATGGAGGTCGAAAGCGAACCTCCTAAAGACAGAGGTCGAAAACGAACCTCATAACGATCAATAGAGGTCGAGAACGAACCTCGTTACGATTAAGGGAGGTCGAAAAGGAACCCCCTAAAAACAAACGGAGGTCGAACACGAACCTCCTAACAATCAATAGAGGTCGAGCACGAACCTCATTACAGTCAATGAAGGTCGAAAACGAACCCCCTAACGACAAATAAGGGTCGAAAGCGACCCTCATAACGATCAATAGAGGTCGAGAATGAACCTTGTTACGATTAAGGGAGGTCGAAAACGAAGGTCAAGAACGAACCTAATTACAAGTAGTAGAGGTCAAAAACGAACCTCTTAACGACTATCTGGGGTCGAAAACGAACACCACCACTAATGGTTTCAAATAAAACTCGTCGAGACATAAATAAATCTACCACACAACTTTAGGCAAAAAGCCAAAAAACAAATCCAAGCCCCGACACAGCAAATTCGGGAGAAAATCTCAGCACTCGCGTGCACAAAAATTACAACCCATATACAAGGTTAGAAACAAAAAATATATACACATATCCAAGTCACCCTATACAGAGGCATTGTCACTAGAACTATCCTCAACATCGTCCTCCCGGACCAACCGCCCAAAGCGAAAGACCTTTTCCACATGCATTCCGGAAAAGTCAAACCCCGGCGCGAGGAGCCTAGCCTGCCGAGCTGCCTTGAGAAAGCCTCTCTTATGCTCCACCACGACTGCATGCTCAACCTCCTCAAGCCTCTTCCTCAGCGCCTCAATTAAGAAAGATGATTTTAGAGGAAGGACATTCATTTACGAGCTACTAGGATGTATCGGGACCTTAGGAAGATGTATCAGAGTGGTGTAGCGGAAGCATTGTGGCCTAAGGTGGAGAGAGGAGTAGAGAAATTGTATGCTCGTGTTTAGTATGCAAGAAGTCTTTAGGAATTTTGTAGCACTTAGACGTCCCATTTTGGAACTGTAATGGTGAGTGGATAGACCTTAATTGTAAGTTTGTCTGAGATGCTTAAGAGATCGATTCTATTTGGGTTTTAGTGGATAGACTCGCCAAGTTTATATGTCTTACCCTTAGATATCCTTTGGTGAAATTGATAGAGTTATACATCAATAAGGTAGTGAGATTGCATAAGAATTAGAAAGTAAGAAGCAAAGAGTCTACCATTGCAAAAATTTCGGGGACGAAATTTCATAAAGGAGGAGAGTATTGTAACAGCGCAAAATTGCTGGGCTAGAGGCCCAATTGATTGCCCGGAACGGCCTGTTTCAAAAGTGAAACGGGTCGTTCCGGAGTAAGAAAAATGCCCGAAAGTGGAGAAGCAGAATGACCCGTTCTCCTGGGAGAACGGGCCATTTTGCTAGTTTTGAGAACGGGCCGTTCTGGTTTTGGAACGGGCCGTTCCAGTTGAGAATTTTGCATAGTTTCGAAGGGTCCAGAACGGCCGTTCCACTTTTGGAACGGGCCATTCCGGTAGGTGAGCCTGAAATCCTATAAATAACGTCCCTCACCTCTCATTTTGAGACATCTCTCATTCTTTCTTCCTATTATCTTATGTTCTCTCTTCTTTCCCTCTTCTTCTCTCTGAAGACCAAGGGGCACTTAGAGGAGGAGACCAAGAGATCTCTGTTGTAGTTTCAACTGCTGTTTATCCATGTACGGGGGAAAAGGGAATTATTTATAGGTAGAGTTACATGAAGGAATTGGATAGAGGAAGAACCCTTAAGATTATGAGTAATTTTATAATTATTTCTGTTTGGAGAATTATTGGTTTTATGTGATTCTATATGAATTTAGGATTATGAATATATATTTTTATTTGTAAAAATGATGCTCTGGGAGAGAGAACAAAATTATAGAAAAGTGTCTGTAAGTTAGGTTTTGGAAAAAATTGGATTATTTCTGTTTGAGAAATTGATGATCCCATTAGATTCTGTATGTGTTGAGGATTAGAAAAATATATTTAATTTGTAAGAATGATGATCTGAGAGGGAGAACGAAACTGTAGAAAGTGCCTGTGAGCTAGGTTTTGGAACAATTGGGGGTTTTATCGTTATGTTGAAATTATATTAAATTGGTAATTCTGTTGAATATTATATTAATTTATGAATGTTATTATTATATCACTCGATAAAAATTGATGATTTAGATGTGAATTGCTTGAGGTGTATGAAACCCTTATTTTGTTGGACTTATCTGTTGTGTATGTGATATGGAATTGTGCATGTTTTTGAGATATGAGATGGGATGATGTGTGGATATGATTATGAATGTGATTGTGGTACCTCACACTAATGACCAGGGATGAGACGAACCTTGAGTAGTGATGCTTCAAGGACGAGCGTGCCCCTGGCATGGTGTGGGATGAATGAGTCAATTAACACGCATCACTTATGTCAAATATGGCAGCCCTGACATAGGGTTAATTGCAAGATATTGTGTGGATTGTGATGTGAATGTGGTTCCTTACATCAATGACTGGGGATGGCACGGTCCCTAGGTAAGTGATGCTACAGGGAGGGCGTGACCCTGGCATGGTGTGAGATGAGAGAGGCAATTAACCTGTATCAAGTGTCAGTTGTGGCCTGGTCTTGACATAGTGTTAATTGTAAGATTTATGTGGGCTGGGATGGATTGATGTGATTATGATTGTGATGTGATTGTGGTTCCTCATATTATGACTAGGGGTGGCACGACCTTGGGTAAAGAGATGCTACAGGCGTGACCTTGGCATAGTGTAGGACGGGTGATTCCTCATGCTTATGTCGGGGGTGGCACGGCCTTGGGCAAAGAGATGCTACAGGCGTGACCT